AGTAGTGATACGTCTAGTAGGTTTGTTATTTTGAATTAATTAGTCATCGACAGGGTTTACAACGGTGTATAGCCATATCATTGACACTGGCGGCGCTTCGCCAATCCGGCAAGGCATTGGGTAGAAAGGGTAAACCGTAATATCAAGGCTATGCTGCAATAATATGTCACGGAAGACCATAAAACTTGGGACATTCACTTATCCGACTTACAATTTGCTTCGATCTCGGCGGAACATGACAACCGGATACACTCCGGCAGAGATTTTTCTAGGGCGCAAATGATGTACTTTTTTGACCATCAGTTGGGGGGAGAGAACTTCAAACCCGATGTACAAGTAGATTAATGCTAAGCAACAGGCCTCAGCGGCCAAAGCCAAGTTATATTATGACACCAACCGTCGGAGCAGCACGATCTCTCCCGGGGCCATGGTTATGTTGAAGACACACCCGTTGTCGGACGCACGAAAAAACTTCAGTACGAAACTAGCCCCAGGGTCAAGGGTTCCTATACGGTATTAAAAATGACGTTACCCTTAAACGTTATTCTGGCGGATGTGAATGACAAAGAGTGTGTTTGTCATATCGATCAGCTGAAACTGGTCGGATAATGTATGTAATTAATCCATGTAAATACGTCAGAGTAGATGCGTAACTCAACAGGGGAAGAAACGAGTAACCTGCCAGTTATGCGCGAACAGCTGGTGTTGTGCTATGAGCAATGGTAGCAACAACACATACCCAATGGTGTTGGGAGTGTACATAGTGCGTGGTGCATGTAGTACGTTGACATTACAAACTCTTCGCCGGGACTCTGCTTCGAAGGAGGGGAGAATGTAAGGGGTCAACACCGCAGCATACGAATCTAAGCCATTCTACAGAATTCACATACAGGCTTCGACACGGGATTCACTGCAAGCCTGACAAGGCCACGGCAGTGGACGTATATAAGGACCGCCCGGGGTTGACTCGGCGCGCTTTATTCCACCAGACTACCAGGAGAACCGACCGTGTAAGGATCAAACCTTATAACGTATAGAAAGTACATGTTATTTGTACTAATTTCTCCGTATGTTTTCTTGAAGTTTTCATCGTCTTTCAATGCCTTTCGGTAGACTTTTTGGCGTTTTCCGCGTGATTATTATTTTGCGCAGGCACTTATTTTGGAAATCCTCCAACATTTTTTACTTCTTTCTTAGTTAAGTTAGTCCATGTTTCACTGTTATTTAAGAAGGAAGGTAAAACTGTGCATTCGTATGATTTCACTCTTGCTTCTATGGTATGATTTCCATAATTTTGCTCTTCTGCCCATGATAATATTTCCCTCATCATGAACCTACATTTTTCAGTTCGGACTCTTATCATATTGTTATAACCTCCTATATCATTAATTGAATCCCTAGGGTTATTTGAATCTTGATGCTGCGTTTTTTGTTATTGGTTGACTGACAATGATCTGACGTTGATTTGGTTGATTCTTTGTTGATTTTTGTTTACTGTTTTAAATCTCCTATTTTAAAATATCGTTCCATATATGATCAATTGTATCTTTTAAAACTTTAACAGCTCTATCCGCTGACGCGCCTGTGGGACGTGCGGGGGCTCGGCGTATTTTTTTTTTTCCTATAATAGCGTTTATATTCCTCGCAGGTTTGGTAGCTCGTCTGCTTGGCTGCTTTGATTTTCGCTTTGACTCTACAATACTGTTATAATAATGAAACAAACGCCATTTGTTAGATATTGGTTTAATGGCTATCTCTTGATGTATTTTACTTATGAAACACACTATTGAACTCAATATAAATATCAATATCACTCATTAATTACAATTCTGTGTACAATTGTATGTTGTTTTTCATCGTTAACGTTTAGTTATGGAGAGGGTCTTAGGGCTCCTTTCGTTAACACTTTGTATACGTATATTACGTATCGTTACTAATAGAGTGGCCCTTCGTGCTCTCGTCGCAGAGAAGGACGCTAAGGGGCNAATTTTTTTGAGGAGCCCAAAAATTTGACCCCGGGAAAAACCACCCCCCCCCCTATGGGCCCGGTAAGGGACTCGAACCTGTTATTTGCCATATCTTTGCCCTTCTTTGGTCGATTTGAACAAAGTTAAAGTCGATTTAGGGGTTTTAAACATCAAGGAATCGATTGGGCGTGGTTTGGAACCTAAATTCGTCATAGGTCACAAGATATCGTTTCTTCGGGTTCACCTCGCGAGCCCGAAAATGGGTTTTCACATATCTCAGCTATTTTCTCAAAAAGTTAGAGTCAATTTTGGGGTTTTGAGGTCAAAGGATTTATTAGATACACATGATACACTTTCAGACTCCTGGAAATTCGGTTTCACTTGGTAGTAGTACACGTAGTCAAAATCTGACAGACTGACAGTCCGCAATCGTCCTCGGTCACTTGTTACATACACAGCCCACACTGACTGCATATCATCCTGTACATGCTTCAATTAGTGATTTGTGCACTTCCTGGTGCAAGTGCAGAAAGAAAGGCACATGACATTGTTATTAGCGCATTTGCATGACTGGCACTTGAGTCACGATCTCGAGGTTTGGTCTTGCTGCGTCCGTGGTCCATTGAATGTGAAGTTGGTTCTGATAGAGTTTCCATCCACACATCTCAAGAGGAGGGCTGGGGATCTGAGTGAGGGTGTTACCCCACACCCATCCTGCCTGATAGGCGCTGCGACGTACCGCCAGTCTGAAGGAATCCAATGAAGGTGGGAGGTCCCTTAACTCATCAGAACCTGAGGCCTGGAACATTGAGAACCGCAGTTCATTGAGATCTTGGTACACAGCCCTCTTTGAGTATACATAGCACACAAAATCCACAAGTATCTTTTCTGTGCTGAGGATCACTTGTTCTGCTGGGTACCAGCCTAGTTGTTTAACTGCCTCTGTCAGTTCATCCCTCATCGAGCACTTATTCCATTGAGAAAACCACATCTTCTTGGTCAGCTTGTAGAAAGAGCAGTTAGAATCGGCGCCAGTGAAGCAGTGGAAGAATGGCAAGGCTAAGCAGACGTCCTTCCCTAGTGACTCATAACAAACATTGACATGAATGTTCTTCCTGTTCTTTCCAGAGTTAAAATCAACATGAAGCTCAAAGTCAGGGTCGATCTTGAGGAACTGGGGCATAAAGGCGAGAAGAATGACAATGACGCCTGAATCAACTGTCCGTACAGTCAATCGCGATAAACCACATGCCAACATGTCAATTATATGGCACACCATCCTGTTGTCCGCCTCTTCTAGGGTTTCCATCTTTGGCATGTATATAGTCCTTTCACCAGCATTTGTTAGAACATTTCCAAGACCATTAGTGACACAGAAATCTTTCTTCCAGGACCAGGAGGATGCTTTCCGCAATTAGTGCATTAAGTCTGGTCTTGTTCTGATCATCTGTGAGAAAGGATTTAGACATATCCTTCGGGACAGTGCTATCACCAGTAAAGTTAACTTGCTGTCCTGAATCTTTGAACTTCCTTTCCGAGCGGGTGGGGCTCTTGATGCTTAACTGGTTATACTGGTCTGCTACAATATCGATTCGAGATGCGCCCAGGCGTGTGGCAGTGTTCTCAATGCTCTGCAGGACCCTGGAGACAAATTCATTGAAGGTTGACCCCTCTGGAAGGACTGCAGCCTGCGCTCGGATGATCACTGAAAGGTCAACAACGAGACCTTTGACATTTGTTGGACTTGGTGTAACCGCGTTTTNTATTGCGATATACAGATGGCAATCGTTTCTATAATGTACGTCGATGGTTGCTCAATTAAAACTGACTTCTTCTTACTCACTCATTTGTGTCCTTTTTTGTGGTGAGCTACAGTGTCATTGACACTTTCATTTTATTTTGCATACAGGGTCGTAGCCTGCGGGGGTGGGCAAGGGGGGGCAGCTGCCCCCGTAGGTTTTGGAGCTAAATAAAAAAATAAATTGTTCTACTAATAGAGAATCGTCGTAGTCACAATAAAGGCGGTAGGCCTACATGCACTCAAGTGCCTCAAATACCACCTCCTGCGATCTACATTTTCAAAATTTTCTGTAGGAGGACCTGCAGACCCCCACTTGTTTCTCACCCACTCCTCGAAATCCTGGATCCGCCACTGCCTCACCCACTAAGAATTTGCTCAGCCTACGGCCCTGGCATATACGGATATACGGTCCTTTTCATAATTTTTTTTAACTTTATTACGGTCTATGGTTTGCCTTGGGTCGATCGGAGATGTGACGAGAATGCATGCAGAGTGCGACCCTTAACGTTTTATTAATAAAACGATGGTAAATAAAATACGTGGTGTCAGCACAATATTTTTACTTTGTATCTTCACAGAACTCCACTTTCTTCACACACGTTGCACGACTAAATTCAGAGGTTTTGGAAGATATCTTTCATAGGGTTTCAAATGCGCCCGAAAATTTTTATTGGGGGGGGGAACTTAATTTAAACTTCAAATTTAATCTATTTTGTTAAATTATTTTATTTATTTATTTTTAATTTGTTTGCAGATGCTGGGCGATTAATGGTAACATTTCTCTAGAGGAAACTACAGCTACTCCTCTCACCATCTATCTGAATATGCACGCATACTGAGCAGACGTCTTTGCCTGCCTTTTAGAATTGTCAGTCCGTTGATATCAGTACACAGCACAACTAGGATTACTGGACTCACGAGATAGATCATACAGCACTTTTACCAACTGCAATTTCATCCAATTTTATTCACATGGGCTCTACACATACGAAATGAAAATCTAAATGCATTTACGTCGTTCCCCACTATTGTCGACTGATGAACGACGTACGTCCGACGCCATTTTACAAGCTCCATCCGACCAATTAAGATGAGGTTAGATGTTACAACTATCAGATGCCAAAAGAGAATGAGGAAACACCACGATGCCACTCACCCCCACTCGTCGTGCGAACTAGCAGCGGCAGATGACGTGACGAAGAATAGAAGAAAAAAACGACGAGTAGATGCGATCTTGTTCACGTAACTTTTAATACAATATCGTTTACTTTGTACAGAGAAGATGATCACGCGATGCTGCTGGCGTTGGAGGCAATTCTCGGCCACAGGTCGGCGCATTCCTTCGACACGGGTCCCGTGATCGCAGAGCCTGGAAGGGAGCAGACGAATAGGATCATGAAGACGCGCTCTTAATACTGGAGTGTAGTTACGGCCAACATGGCTTTTCACATATTTAACATCGACACTAGTACTAGCAATGTAGCATGGGTATACTATCAAACCCCACTCATAGGACGAGCACAGCACACCCTCGTGGTGTTAGCGAAATCCCAGCGTTTAGTTTTGCACAAATTCTACACCCAACGTCCGGACAAAGGCAGATGATGGGCTCTAGTTCGTGCGACACGTTCCAACGGCTTTTAAATACTTCCCTGAAAATTTTATTCAAGAATTTCACCGTCAAAGCTTAATTGTCTAATCTCCCTTAGCAAGATAACAATGCCCCTTGGGTGTTGATGCTAGACCCGATGTCTATACCAATTTGTGCATGTTTTAAAAGCGTACACACCAAAAGGTCTACATTACGACATACACAGGGTCAGTTTGCAGCCTGCTCTCAACGACAGCAGCAAATAGTTGCTGCCAAAAAAATTCCTTATAAACTATAGTAATAGTAACAAAGATTCTGCATGGATGAGTGAATTTGCTGTATGCTCTCTGTTTCTGGCAGCGACAACTTGCTGCATGGTATAACTAGAAACGAGCAGTTGTCGCCAACTCGCATTACCCCCGTGTCTAGATAATGAATATTCCTTAAGGACTAGAAGGCAGAAATAAATAAACGACAAAAGACAAAGGTTGTAACAACGAGTGCCTCAATTCCAATAATATAAACTGGTTACTAGAGCCGAAGAGGACAAGTAAGTCGTCGGGAAGTGCAAACTAAGGTCAAGGGCATGGTGTTTGAATAGCGACACCTTCCTCACAAGAAGGGTAAGCATCGCCAATTTGTCGCGCTAGGGTCAATTAGCCGGGCCGAGTCAGAGAGCGAAGGGAAATATGATCAAAGTCACGAAAGGTCAAATGAAAGGTCGCACGTGACCCTGTGCAGTTTTACCATACCGATCTCGATGCTCTCAAAGCATGGTGGTTATCGTAAAGTGCGAATGACGCCATGCCTTTTTGTGGGCTGAGTCATCGTTGCCAAACCGGAACATTTTTGTGGAAATATAGTAAACGGTGATAACGTGTGCTGATTTTACGCGATTGTCATGGAAGACACACAGCGCGATTAACAGTCCTATATATATTATATTATATATATATTGATGACAATCATAATTAATGCAAATTTAATACAAATATCTAAATTTAAATTTTAAATTTATTTTACAATTTAATTTTATTAATAATAAAATAAATATAAAATTAATACACAAATATAAACATGACAATCGGGTAAAAACTGCAGAAGTTACAGGTTCTACAATGTTTCGGGAAAAAATGTTGTTACCATGGCAACGATGACTCCGCCCACACCAAAAACGATTGGCGTCTTCGCTTTACGATAACGCACCTTCATGCGAAATTTGAAGATGATCAGAGAAGAACTGCAGCCGGTAGAGCGTTCACAAGGAAATCTCTGCGGCGGCGGCGCGACGATGCCAAACCCATAGTATTCCCAAGAACTTCGTTCGGGGGATACAATAAACTCTATGCTTCCAAAAATTCCTATCCCTGGGCTACCGATACGGGGGAACTCGCGCTCAGATCGAGAGAAACTACGTAGTAAAACAATACACGTAGCCGGGACTCTATCAATCATGCAAACACTTACAAATGAGTACCTTAGCAAACAACAACTACCATCAAATTACAAATTGTTACATTTCTTTTGTTTAGTTTGGATGAAACTAGGCCAGTAAATGATATGGATTTTAGTCAGTAGAGTATCGATACGTGTATCGTGGATGGTCAACCCTATCGATATGTGTATCACCAAGACTTTTATTGCGATACATCGATAAATCGCAACACTCTTAGTCACGATATGGACATCAGCCACGGAGGGTTGCCACGCGAGTGTCTATTAGCTTAGCTGCTACATTCATCAATTTTACTACCCCAGGAGGTTGATCACACAAGAAAGCAGCTTTCTTTCACGAGCTTGATACTACAAAGTGTGTTATAACTTCGGTAAACCCCGCGTGTTTCCGTCAATGATTGACAAATGGAATGAATGACGTCTGTTATTGATTGCCATAGTGATGACCCCCACCTGTGCCCACCTCACGCCCACCTCACGCTGGATGTATAGTAAACTCTGGTAGTATTACGTGAGTCAGCGCCACTATGACGCTACACAGCGGCGACCGGAATCAACACACTGGAGTGAGGGACGCAGTATTGACTGATCTCGAGTCGGTTTTCGGTGAAAATACCAGATTTTCACCGCTCATTATCTCAGCGTAGGGGCATCGTAGGGACATGCGGTTTGTTTTATATGAACAAGGTAGGACAGCTGATCAATAATACTGCAAAGGATCGTCAAAATAAAACGGGAAAAGTTTATTAATTCAACTAATACTGCAGCATGGTTTCAGCATTTTACCGTTGTACGCTCTCCTTCTTTATACGCTCTTGATATTATCATCGTTACTACTATTACTGCAACTATTATAAACTATAATCTAAATATTTATTAGCGATTTTGGATGCTGTACCTTTCATCTCGCCTTTGTTATTGACAATGACACCTGCGTTATCTTCAAAGTAGATGAAGCAACCATCCTTTCTCCGGTAAGGCTTGCGTTGCCGAATGATGACTGCTGGCATTACTGCAAAGAACGTCGGAATAGGATCATGAAGACGCGCTCTTAACACTGGAGTATAGTCACGGCTAACATGGCTTTTCACATATTTAACATTGAAACTAGTACTAGCAATGTAGCATGGGTATACTATCAAACCCCACTCACAGGATGAGCACAGCACACCCTCGTGGTGTTAGCGAAATCCCAGCGTTTAATTTTGCACAAATTCTACACCCAACGTCCGGACAAAGGCAGACGATGGGCTCTAGTTCGTGCGACACGTTCCAAAGGCTTTTAAATACCGTCCTGAAAATTGTATTCAAGAATCTCACGGTCAAAGCTTAATTGTATAATTTCCCTTAGCAAGATAATGCCCCCTTGGATGTTGTTGCTAGATCTGTATGTCTAGATATACCAATTTGTAAGTGTTTTAAAAGCGTACACACCAAAAGGCCTACATTACGAGTCTACGACATATTACTGACAAACGTTGTTTTTAAAACATCTCAATCCAACAACGATTTAACAAAACAAGATGAGGTTAACACGTTCAACGCGAAACACGAGTATACTCGTTCGAACCTGCAAAACGCACGACCGCGAAACACGAGTATACTCGTGGCAAAAAAAAAAAAATA